TTTTCCCTGACGGCGTCATTTTCGAATCGGCTTGCGAACCAGCTGAGGGTCGCTGTCCCACTGACGCCCTTTTCTACAAAGGATTTGTGCACCGGTGGCTCTCCTCGGCCACTCAACTCGCCCCTTCCTTGGCAGACACATGGCTTCCGGTCTTGAAAACTTCCGCTGAAGCTGCGGCCAAGCAGTGTGAGCCCGGAAATTCGGAGATCAACAATCGCTGCGGCTTCTATTGGACCAGTGGCAGATTTGTCGACCCTATGACGGCTGACAACACTACGGGTATTGGTGAAGGGTTGAGCGTTCTGGCTGCAGTCTCGAATCTGCTCATCAAGGATGCCAAGGCACCGATCGTTGAGGCTGCTAATAGTGGCGGAAGCACTGGCAACTCTCCTAGCGGCACGACCGGGGGGTCTTCGCCGACTTCGACTACCTCGACGACGGCTAATCCAGGATCAGGAGCTGGGAAACTTGAACTGGATATGAAAATTCCTTTCCTCATCTCATCATTCATGCTTCTGGCTTGGCACCTCTGATTTCAGGTGACGGACTCAGGGCTCAAAACACATATATCTATCCTCAGATGAAGCTTAGACAAGCGTTAGAACAGTCACGTGGAAGACGAGCGAAGGCGTAGGATTCGAACAGGAGTTGAAGATTAAAGATGTAGAGATTGCTATAGCAAGATACTAGTTTGCCACTCATACAAAGTAAAATACGGCCCCATTTAGCCCTTGCGCCCAACCCAGTCAGTTCCGTGACATTATGCATCATTCCGTCGTAAGCGTCGTAAGTGTAGTCCAAACCCCGCCTATCTATGAGACCTCCTGGCTTGACCGGCAAACCCCAAATATTCTTGAGTATCTTGCAGTATAATACCAGATTCCTCCTCGTTATCCATGAGATACCTCGGCATCGTCGCCGATCCCATTCCGATCAAAGTGTTGTGTATATCCTTGGGATTGATTGTGTCTTTTGAGTAGTGACCTTGAGTAGGGTAGTCAAAGGGGAGGACCTGGTCAGTGTCCATGGTGTAAGAGTGGTAGTCGGATGGCACAGTTGATACGACGTCAAAAACGGGCTCAAAGACTTCAAAGCCTGAGGCGTCGAGGCTGTCAAAGTCGTCCACCGTGCCGGAGTGAGAGTAAGTTTGGTAGTCTGCTGGAAGTTGCATGCCCGCGTAGTTGGCCTCGACGGGTCGACTCTTCGATCGGGTCTTCCGAGAGTCGTGTGATGAGGAGGTGACGCCAGATGTGGTAACGTGTTGTGTAGAGTCTGTGGCAAGAGACATGTTGTCCATGCCCCAGTTCTGGTCTTGGTAGCCAGAGTTGTGATAAGTATGCGAGCTGTATCCGTGGCCATTTCCAATGGTCCGGCTGTATCCACCGGAGCTTGCAGAAGGGTATGCGCTCGAGGCATCTGTTGATGATGCACTCGGGCTGGATCCGGAAAGCCTCCGGTACTCGCGAGATCTCTCCGAGTCTGCATCGCTTCCGTCAGAGTCGTAGTGCGTGGCGTACCCCCTTTCCCATCTATCCACTGCCTTTTCCATCGCATCAAACATGAGCTGCGTAGGCAAAAGACAGGGAGAATAGGCGTCGTGGTCTGTGCCGTTCAGTTAGCTTGTCATGTCAACTACTTGTAAGTGCGCTTGAGTCAACTTACAAATCTCCACTTTCTTCGCCCAGTCTTCCTGGCCGGGGTAGAGCTTCATCAGAAGCTTGTGGCGATACTTGTAGTCGAGCGATTGCCCACTTGCCCGCACCGAAATGTTCTCCAGAACCCGTTGTTGGTCCTCGGAGAGCAATGGGGGCTCGTGAAGCGACCACACCTTGGTGCAGCTGCGCGAGTGTGATGACTTAGACTCCGCTGGCTTTGAGCCGAATCGGGCTCCACAGTGATGGCACTGCTTGTCACTTCTCAGATGAACTCGCTTGATGTGCTCGCTGGGTTGGGTAAGTCAGAACGCCATACCTGCATGACTTGGACAGGGGTCGTAAACTCACATCAATTTACCGATCCCACCCTTGATGTTTCCATCAGTACAGGAGTTTCGGACATGAGTGAATGCTGCCGGGTTTTTGATGAAAAGAGGGCAGGCCAAGTTGACGCTCTTCTCATCAACGTTGTCCTTGGATTGGTGACGGTGCAGGGGTAGACCCATCTCCCTCCTGAGCTCCGTCATGAGGAAGTCCTTCATGCTGGACCAACCCATTGGTGACTGGGGAGTAGGTTGTTGGATAACATCGACAGGGACATTGGTGCTAAGTTTGGGTCGCTTGACCTCCAAGACCTGGCTGGACTTGCCGTGAGTGACAGACTCACGGCTTCGCTGCCGGACTCGCTTGCTGTTCTCGCCCATGATTGCTAGACGGCCAAAAGTGTGGTTTTCTTGGCTCCTGAAACGCTGCGAGGTTCTCTGTGACCTCTTCTCCTATCTGGTAAATGCGCTGAACACGATGTTCAGTGACCTTGGCCTCGGTTTTGAATCCTTGCTCGGAGAGCTTGATGAGGTTTGCCGGAAATGTGGCTTGCTGTTCCCGAACCCACGCTTCTGTGAGTCTGTTGCTTGGTCCAATGTACTTTGGGTCGCTGCTGACAACCGAGCCGAGTGAATATGAAGGCTGTTGCTGCCGAGTAAAATGACCCTGCGATCTTGTAGATCTACCCTCGACCGGATCGCCAAAGTTAGTTTAACTCTCAATGATTATAGCGTAGTTCCATGGCCAAGGATATGGTTTGGCTTACACCCGATTGGGGATAACTCACCTCTTTGGCGTGTTGTTGAGCACCATTCGGTTCAAGTCAGATAGACATAGAGAGCAGCCATCAACCCGGAACTACACACGAACGCGCAAATACCGGATCCTAGATGATGGGAAAAGACAACAAAGAGTCTTGAACAGCTTGAGAACACTCTTGAAGGTGAATTCAGAATGAGAGAGGAAGAGGGAGTCGATCCATGGCTCAACGGGGCGGCTTACGACTAAGAAGCAATCTTCGATCGCAATTGCGATCAGGGCATCCCGGCCCCGTCCGCCACCGCCAACAAGTGCCGTTGGTCGCAATTGAGAATGTGGAAGGGGTCCAAAATGAAGCAAACATGTCTCTTGAATCCATGGATTGATTTCCAATCGTTTTGAGGCGATTTGGGTGGGTTGTGGTCGTTCGACATGGCTTCACGGGTGGTCTGGGACGGGATTTTGGCATCGGATCTCACTACGTGGGAAGATTGAACCCAGCAACGATGTTCAACTCAGCGTTTTTCATATGCAAAGACTGTTCAATATTGTTTCTGAATAGTCTCTTTGTGATTGGTCGTAAAAGAACGAGTATTGATTTGCTCTGGCAACTTGCGCACTCGCTTGGCGTCGAAGGGGAGGTCTGGGAGCCAACCGTCCGCGCTTGCATCAAAGAAACCCACGACTACATGTACCCGAACAACACGCAAAAGGATTTCGATCTTTTCTACCACGAATTTGGAAACTCTGAAACTAGTGCCATTACTTCAAATCGAGCCACAATGAGCCCTAGATCACCGTCCAGGGTCGTTTAAATGGTGATCCTATGGACGTGCCCTCGGAGAATTAGCTCAATAGCGCTAGACTCATCCAGGGACCAGGAGTCTGGAATGCTTCTATGGATATTCTAGTACGTGGAAAGGCCAGCGTTGCATCGGCAAGCTTCAAGAGAAGGATGATAGACTTCTTCACCGCCTGATTTAAGGTTTTTTACAGGAGTTCTCAATGGACGAACCCTCTCTATGTGGAACAGCCGATGGATTCCTGTTCCGAGCCTACGGTCTCGTGACAAGGGGTTCATGCGGGCGATCTTGGATCAGGGTTGACGACTTGGCCATCACGAAGGGGTGATCGCAAAGTCGCAAAGTCGCAAAGAAGCAGGAGCAGTTGCACTGATTCTGGAGATGTGAGAGAGTCCCCAAACCCGGGGTTTCGGCAGAGTAGCGGTCAGAAACTGTGTTCCCCTGGCGGAAACGGCCGTGTGAAGTGCGCTTCTGTGCAGGCCTACTACTAGTGGCCAAGCGGACTGGATCTCTGCTGTTCCGGCCGTCGCCATTCTGCCGCTCCGGATACTTCGACGTGGGGTGGTGTTCCCAACGACGGGTAAAAACATCTGCCCTGCCCTCCATCTCTCTACCACATAAATTACATAAACCAACCACTCGTTTCGATTGTTTCGACATGGATGCCCAGTAGGATGATTGCCACACCCTTGCTTGGATCCGATCCACCAAAGACCGATTTGCTCCGTGTCACTGGATCTGTGCTCCGCTGGTCCCATACCCATCGATTCCGAGTCGCTGGGTCGAGGTAGGACAAGACGCCTCGCCATTGGAAGAGGCGCAGCAACCTGCGACGCTGCCCCTGATTCCGATGGAGACTTTGAAGCGGTGTGAGCAGGCTTGAAGCAGTTTACCCATGACCGCGGTACCAACAACCAGGTTTGCCAACGACGAGATTGGCATCCCGGATCCTTCAAACCCTAGTCTTCAGTCCGCGGCGCAGTCTTGCTTGTAATTCGCGCTGGAGTCGTTACTTGTCAGTCACAAAAGCCTTTACGAAAAGTGGCCAACTTACCTTGACGAGACGAGCAATTACAGGATCGGATGCAGGCTGACGTAGGACGCGCAAGATCATGCAGACGTAATCTCTTGCACCAACAAACTGTGAATGGTTGCACGATTCCGGCGCGAATCTGTGTCGCCGAAAGAAGACGCCGCAATATGGACCAGAAGCGGTGCAGAGATCCCAACCTCCACCCTGTCCTCAACGCATTCGTCTGGTCACCTGCTCTTCCTTCGATGGAGTCGATGCTGATCGGCCCTGGCGCTCTCAAGTCCGTGGAGTGATGTTGTCGGAAGGTCGCCGAGAGGCTGATGATGATGGTTCGCTCGCTATGACCTATTAGGCCACCGCCCTTGGTCGGCAGCGAGCACCAATACGTTGAGAAGCGTTCTTGCGATACGTCAAGAAGGCGAAGCTTCAATCAATCATCTTTTGAACTGAAAGCACACCGTGGTCGACGGACCCCGGTTTCTTGACCTGTTCGGCTGGCCACTGAAGCCATTGGGCGTACTGAGATGGTAGAGTAACGAACAGCCCTTTCATGAGATGCTCCGACCAGCCTTGCATGAACCAGAAATGTTCGAGGGTTTGAACCAGGACATTGAAGTGCCCTAGCAATATCAGGGATAGCGCTTCCTTTTGCTGGATGCGAATTACAAAGTCGTCGCTCATGCTATACAGCCATCGCATAACGACTTCAAATCGGCCCTGGACGTGCGCCTCCGGCTCCGCTTCGGTGCCAAATGTTTGCTTGAAGCAGTCCTTGAGCAATTCAAGTGAGATCGTGTACATTTGGCGCTCGGGCTCAGGCGTGGTGGCCACCAGATCGGCGAGCTCTTCGAACCGTTGTTCCCATGAAACCATCTTGTGCACGGGGTCAGGCAGTGGCGGACAGTGAGTCCAGGTATGTTCGAAAGATATGTTTCCGTCATCCCAGCCCGCGATGATGGCTTGTATACCCATCTTCTGGACGACTATACGGACTCCTCGGAGTAAGCCCCACCAAGGAACCTCGCCGTCCGCTGCGAGGACTAGGAGATGCCCTGGGCTTGGCTTCTTCGCAAACGTGTAGAGGCAGACGAGCACTGTGGTATGGTATAGCGCTTGACAGTTGTCTATATTGATATTCGGCATAAGGTTCGTGATCGCCGGTAGGGCACTTGTGGAGTGCCGCTCTGCGAGGGTCTCGTACCGCAGGGCCTCTGCTGGCCGGAGTCTAGCGAGGTGCTGTGCTGAAATCGCCAGAACCATGTGGAAGACGTATTGATGTTGGAAGCCCAGCCGGGGCACATATTCTCGCCATACACGTGCTTCACCAAGGGTAATTGCTGTATGGCACATGTAGTGATGCAGGAGTTCGAGATCGTCCCGGTTTAACACCGCGGGGGCGATGGAGGAGAAGGAGGGCTCGGCAGACGTTGTAGGGGCCGGTGTACGCGGTGTCTTGGTAGCATCGGATTCGGAGGCAGTCGGTGTCGGTAACTTCCGGACGGCGTCCCAGTCCTTCCGAGGACGGCCCCGTTTTCGCGGTGCCGGTGGCGGCGCCGGTGGCGAGAGGTCGGTAGGAGATTGGGTGAGTAGGTTCGTGGGCGGAGGAGCGAAGTCGCAGTGCATCGAGAATCTCAGACAGTTGCCGCATTCAGGCTTGATCTCATCGCACTGTCAGGTCCATTACAGTCAGCATTGATTACTATGCAAAGTCCAATTGCGCGGTATGCGTGGGTAGACAGCGATCCAGCGTCACGAGAAGGTATGGGGACACGCGCCTTGACTTTCCTCCTTTTACAGTTGTGGCACCCATTGCGAGACTTCTTATGAGATCTTCTCTTATTCTTACGACACGTCCCGCAGCAGCAACCACTGCCGCTCGTGTGCTTGTCCGACGCCGTGCATACTGATGCTGTCGGGCCGGTCTCGTTCTGGCCCTCGTTCATGGTTCGCGATCGTGTGGCGGCGCTCGTCGAGCGTGGATTCGGTTAGGCTGGGTAGCGGTTAGGTAAGGTATGGGACGGTAGCTCGAGCGGGACGGCCTCGTCCATTCCTACGAGCGCATTCCGCATATGACGTCGCTTGGCATCAGTTTGGGGTAGCTGGGAGTCAGCATTGGATTAGTCGACACATAATCCAGCGCCTCAAAGAGCTTGAAGAATTGCAGAATGTCGACTTAGCCAGCTCCAAAGCTGTTCGGCAACCTCCCCGCACGTGGGTCCACGGCCTCGCTTTCGGGGTCTCGGATGATTTATCGTATTTGATCCGAGAATTGATCCGGTTTGATTGGCTGAGCGGCACTCACTCTCCCAATGAGTTGAATCCCTGTACATCAAGATCTCATCAATTGAACCTTTCTTTTTTCGACTCACTGCAGGCTGCTTCTGTGCTTGGCCTATGAGACTCGAATGAACGTATTCAATAATCTTGATTCGACCGGGCTCCGACTTCTCATATCAGACACAACAGCAAACATCGTCATCCAACTCAACACCTGAGCCATGATGCCCAAAATCAATCCTCCATTGACATCCTGAATTCCGCCGCAAAATGAACCTCATGGATAACTCTCCACCAAGTTGGCGCAACAGAGATGAAGTCCCTTTTCTATCTCAAATCTTTCACTGGCGTTCAATAACAAGTATGATCGTCATAGACCCCAGCTTCATGCAGCGTTTCAGTCTTACAGCTGTTAGCAATCAAGGCAATTAAGGTAGGTACGTCTAACAAAATTGATGTTCTATTGCATTCGAGTAACTTCTATATCAAATCTGGGGTATCAACCTCTAACCTTATGTATCAAATGGGTATCTCTAAGTCATGCACGCGTTCTACATCCAGGTCTTCGTATTAACGACCCCTCTCAAGTCTAACTCGTACTCTGCATTTGCCTCTCTTCGGAAACTCCTAATGCTCATCGGGGTCATCGGCGTTCTAGGAGCCTGCAATGTGGCGCTATCTCTCCACGGAGGCTGATAACTTAGCGGCTGTAATGGCGCTGGTGGCAGTGGCTTCATCCTCGGATCGAGATGCTCCGAAATGTGAACCTTGATCATGAATGAGTCCTCTGAAGGCGAGGGCTCGGGGGATGGTACCGTTCGGGGCCGTGATGTGATGACGGGAGCTGGAGCAACAGGCTTCTTGTCTCCGAATGAAAGCCGGCTGCTTGCCCTGTTCAAAGTTTCCTTGACTTCAACCGTCGGGCGTGTGCCTCGGATAGTCGTGAGAAGTCCCGGAATCTTCTTGAGAAGAGGTCGTAATGCAGGAAGACTACCGCACATCAAGGCGCACGAGATCTCGGCCATGCTCCATGTCACCACATCGACGTTATCCCCTGGCTATGTCAGTCCTCTGCTTGGGATGTGGTCTAGCGCCTAAACTTACATGTGGTGTCATAAGACTCAGCAAACAGTAAGAGCCAGCGCAATCGCACAATGGAAGTGATGCATGCGCTGAAAGAGATCTGAGTCAGCCGAAAGACTCGAAGTTCCAATGCAGCGCTAGGACTCACAATGATCCAAGACTCAACATGAAGCCAACCGCAATCTTCTTTTTGAAACCCAATTGGAGCCTGCTGAGCTGCTGGATGGGCATAGCAAAAATGACGATATCCTCAACGATGCTGAGAATTGCGCTGGCCATAGCAACGGCGTTGACATTGACGCATTTGCGCTCGATAGTTCGGTCCCAGATTCCAGCGATGGGGGCACATTCGAACATGATGACAAAGAGAAAGACCAGTCCATGGCCGACGAGGAATACAAATACCAGTTTGTTGATGATTTGGAACTTGCGATCGGGGAACACGCGGGCGAAAAGGGCAACGATGGACAGCTTTGCTAGGATGAGGACGACGACGTAAAGCATTTGAACAGCGTAGTAGAGCTATGATCAGTCCATTAGTGACATTGAGCTTCGTAGTCGCGCGGCATGTTCAACTTACTTGAAGAATCTTCTGGGCATTTTCCGGGTTCACGTTCCAGTAATGAAGCCCGAAGCCAAGATCGGCGGCTTTGAAAAGTCAGCAACTGAGTTGTACCAAAAGCAATATAGACGACGGCGTGGAATACTCACTCGCAACTACGCAACCAAGGGTGGTAGCTAGTATAGCCTATGATAGATATCAGTCGCTGAGGACTAGGTGAAGTATAGTTGAGACATCAATCAACTTACGGCAGTGACTATCGTCATCCAATCATCGAGCTCTAGGCGGCTTGCTATAATCCATCTCGAAACCAATCTCAATATCACAATCGGAAAGGTTATCACGGCCAACACCGCCACGACCAGCTTGATTTCGGTGTCTCGAGATGGATGAGGGTAAGGACGGCAGAGGTCATCCGTCATATAAGATAATGCTAAAATTCATCAGCAAAAGCCAGGATAGGTACGTCAAGCTGAGAACTCACACAGCTGATCTTGCCAAGTACACGATGTTTGCACGCATCCAGATAGTCCATCTAGGAGGGTGACGTTGGTGCAAACACATGAGGCGATGTTGTCTAATCCGCAGCCTGAACTGAAAAACGCTGTCGTAACACAAGAGACCTGCCATAGGGTGAGATGAAGTTAACTGGAGGCTGAAGGTATCGACACTTACGGCGCATTGAGGGATCTGAGACATGAGCTCTAACGGAGAAGTTGCTGCATTCGTGCTGTCTTGGCCGAGAACGGTACCTGCTACCCAAGGTAGCAGCGCAAGGAACCACCGCACGTGGTTCTTCATGGTTATATGAAACGTGGACGAACCAGAATACGGGGACCTATCGAGTTCTTGTTTATCTGAAGAGGGTTATCCAGCCCGAATATACGTCTCGGGAGACTCGGGGCATCGTTCCTAAATGCGGCTTTCGGCGTCTCCAGCAAGCACGCATGAGACGGGAGTCGAACCAGAGGAGAGCTTGGCCTTGAGATAAGTATGTTGATTTTCGTGCCTCGGACGGACTTGACAGCCCGAATCCAAGATTCGAATGCCCTTGGATATCCGTAAACCGTTGGTCAATGTCTATTTCCGACTAGGTCTTCATGTACGCGAGCCCTGCGAGTCTGTCATCTGCATCTTGGCAGAGAGCCCAGAAATACTACACATGCATGCAAAGCGTCTGATATTGATTCGACCCACGCGAGTATTCTTGAGTTGGGGTTACAATAGTCTCCGAACAAGGCAAAACGCTATGAGCCTCGCAGCTCAATTCGGCATGAGCGACCACGATGGTGGGCGGGGTGTATCTAAGTCTGAATCATGAACCCTGGTGCCGGCAACGAGGTCCATTGGTTCGTCCGATGTCCGCTGGGTCGGGGTTTCAAGTTGACATGCCATCTAGTGAGCCCGTGCAACCTTTCCGGCCATCTCTCTGGGTCACTGAGAAACGGGTGGGCAGATCATATTGCTTGATCAATATAAAGAAACTCAAATATCGTAGTGGTTTTTGACGGTTTGCTGCAAGCAGCACTCTATCGACCGATCCACTCTGGCGCAAGCGGCCCTGCTTTTGCTTCATGCACCCGCACGAGTTGACAAACACCCCGCCCGCTATCACATTTCGGCTCCATGTGGCTAACCACGTGTAGAGCGCGTGCGATTCAAGTCCGCGCGCGGTGATGCCCTCACAAGGGGGGATGGTTGTGGAGCAATTGAGTTGAATCACGTCAAAGTCCCCACGCGATAGTCGCAAACGCGGGCCCGGACTCTGAAGAAAAAGCGATAAAGAATCAGGATATTGACGTAACCTGGAGGCGGGATATTGATTGAGCTATCCGCAGCCACACCCGCAAATATGACAAGTCATATCTTCCTTCTCAAAGTTGAGCTTCTCAAAGGTCATGTGCGATGGTGCGACCTTGCGGAACCACGAGAACGAGGAGCTCGGGTCGGCGTGAATTGGCCCAGTTACGCTAACGCCACAGCCGCGCTTCTCTTACGAGGTGTTCCCTGAGTCAAGCGCCCGCCTCAAGCCACGCCAAGTGCTGCAGATTACCTGGAGTAATCAAGGGGTTTTGGAACCAAGCTTTAGCTCATCATCGTAAGGTGTGATGCAACAGACGGATACCGTTGGTCGGCCTTCCGCGTACTCCGGACTTTTTCGGCCGGGACCTCTACCATGGCGTGGCCACATGCTGCACACCGGTGTGACAACAGTTGCTTAGCGTGCTCCAAACCCATGGCAAAGACGTGCTGCCGCATGCCTATTTTGCACTTAAACTTTGAGGCAAGGGCTGCCCCAGCTGTAGAAGCCGTTATCTCTCGTGCACTGGCTTGGGTTTCCAAACCTGAGCAATTTAGCACTCAGCTTGCGCCTACCTCTAGGCTTGGCTTGCCTTACCTGGCGTTGCGATTGTGAGAGTTTACTAGCTCAGGCAAGTCATTAACCTTGGCCAATCCGGGGTTGCACAATGTTTGGTCTTGGGAAATGCTCGCTGTTTCTGGTAAAAAGAAAACTAGCCCAGACGGAATAATAATCAATTGACTTATGACGACAGGCTTCAGCCGAGGAATCAAGATACGCTTGCTACCGACAAGAAAGTAAACTTTCATCCAGCGCAATTGATTGATCAAATGAAAGACATAGCGTTGCATAATAATCGTGAAAGGAGAGCCAAGCGAAAGCAGTCTTGGCACTGTGCCGCCATGCCGCAGCCCTCCCACGCCGATAGCGTAGCAACGGCATTGAAAACTGTAGGAAATGAAGATTTGACACTTGCGTAACCCTATCGGTCATATCCGCAATCTGACAGATGATGTGACAAGAAGGCAGGATAGCATTATCTTCATACCCATGGCGTTCAAGTGCGTGCCTTTTCCGACATGACCTTGATTTGTTCAATCACCACTGCAATTGACCGGGCTTTTCCCCAGCGATGCACTCCCGTCATGCCGAATCCACTCTATGGACTTCTCCCGCCGGCGGGAAGCATCCAGGTCCTCAGTGTCAGATCAGGCGGTGAA